CCAGAGGGGCCTGATATGGAGGGGCACTACAGAAGATGCTGACAAACTTGCTGTTTGAAATAAAGCCCCTCTAAACACATGGCATTAATATTTAATGTTGGAGCAGCTTTCTCGGGAGGTCGCTCCAGGCTGCAGCAGTCTCTAAGGGGGTACTGTATTAGTGCTGTGAGCTGTGGAGCGAGCGCATCCTCCTCCTCACGCTAATGAAGAGAGCAGGGCTGAGCTCAGGGGAGTGTGCACGTCCGATTAGCCAGCGCACATGCATGTAAACACGGCCGAGCGGCCAATGATTACAGCACTTTGGTAATGCAGGCCACGCGTCGGCAAACAGCGAGGAGCAGTGGGCCACCTTCTGAACTGCTCTGTCACTTCTGCTGGGTTCCAGGGAGATGGTAAATCTGAAATCCAGGCTGTAATGGCTCTTAAAGTCTGCCATAACAACAAAACAATACATGTATTAATGCTGCTTTGCTTGGACATGACTAAAATGTAGGCTATGACTATTATCTAAAATGTTTGAAAATGACGACTACATTCTTGCTGAGATTTATCTACTGATATTTCTTTTAGAGATAAATACAATTATGCTACAAGTGTAAATTGTGTAATTAAAAGTTGAAAATATGATTTTTTTTTTGGGGGGGGGGGTGGTTCTTGTATTTTATTACATGAGGAAGTTTACGAATGCAACATTAGACTACAATGTATTGCCCTTCTTGAGCTATATCAGTGTGCCAACAACAGTGAATAGTGGTTTGTTTATCAAATGCAAATATTTACCAACATCAAACAGCCATTTGTCTCAAAGTGCAGATAGCAGAACATTGTTACACATATCCCAAAGGGAGGGCCAAAGGGGTGCATTCTAATAGGCCACAAGAGAAATGGCCCATGCATCGTGATAGAGAGTGAGCAAAATGTGGCCATGTATTTCACTGTAGATGTTTCCATAAGCCACTGTACTTTATGTGCAAGTCTTCAGCCTGGATAAATGTCATGTTTTATAATAGGATCTAAAATTGATACAGAATTATTAATAGCATGTAGTGTTTTTGGTAGACTATTTACTATAATTCTCAGTGTAAGAAATGTTTCTAACACACTTCAGTCAGCTTTGCTCTTTAGAAGTATGTTCTTTTTGCATCTCTCAAGAGGATTCAGTGAAGAGAGTCCATTTCAGACTTTCTTCAGGTGTCATTTCAAAATCCACCACTAGGTTATGCTAAGTAGACTCATTACTTAGTATCTCAGTGCTCTTGAAACTTGTCAATGTTTTTTTTCTTGTTTCACTTTAAAACAGTAACAGCAAACAATTACTGTGAGGTCACCGAAAATGTTACTTTCACTTCTCTCTTTATTTATCTTTTCATTTTGTTCCCCAATCAACACAAGCGTTTTAAACTAGGAGCTGTGTGTGCGCTCATGGGTAAATGCTGTCCCCTGAATGCCCATTAAAGTGCACCTGACCTTGTCCACATCCGCCTGGTCAGAGCGGGACACCATTTCAAAAGGACCAGTAAAGAGCTGGCCATTTGGATATTATTGTAGCATTACAGCTCCTAAAGCCTGTGGAAGTCCCAGAGCCATCAGGTCATTTGAAAAAGATCCAGCAAATTTTAAGATGTGCAGATGTTTTCACTTCCAAACCAGCATCTGTTTATGTTGGGAAAACCGCAGAGGACCTCCGATCGCTTTTATGGGGCAGTTTGAGCACAGCACTCAGCGTTGTAATTGGGCTGTAGCAGGTAATGAGAAAATTGCTCACAAGCAGTGTTCTCTAGATACAAGCCACAGCATATAATTTAACACAGTGTGGAAAGCGTCCACATTTATGCTGCAGTCTGTCATATCAGAAGTAAAACACAAAGTGAAAGGTCAAATCATATGTATCTACATATTAACTGTGGTATTGACCAAAACATACACGGGAGCATGTTAGGAATACCTAGACCGGATGAATTAAAACAGAAATACATTGTAAAATTATGTATGGACTGTATACTGAATATTTATTGTTAGGCAATGTTTTTTTCTGGAGGCTTAGCGCTCAAGTCGATGATATTGACCATCATGTAAAGCATATTAAAACATGCCCGTAACCACAGTAATCAGTGCATATAATGGGGAAAATTGACTCTGTTGGGCATTCAGAAGTTGTTAAAAAACAGTCAATAACATACATGAATAAACAAATGACATTACATCAGTTGATTAAAGAATAATGTGTAATGCACACAATTTCACAAACTGAGAATCAGAGAAACAAATTCAAAGACAACTGTAATATGCTCATAATAATCAGTGTTGGGAAGGTGACTTTTAAAATGTATTCCCCTACAGATTACAGATTACATACACCAAAATGTAGTTTGTAACATAATCCATTAAGGTACTTAAAGTGAGTAATGTAATCTGAATACTTTGGATTACTTGATTTGCTGTAGAGAAACAAAGACGAGGATATTTTCACATAAGATGTTTTGTCTTTCATTAACCAAATTAAAAATATTATTGATAGAAGAGGAGGAGTCATGATCCGCGCAGCATGGTTTAGTCCTGTTAAATCCTGTTTTAGACCTGGTTTTAGACCTGGTTTTAGTCCTTGTTTTAGTCCTGGTTTAGATCTGGTTTAGACCTGGTTTAGACCTAGTTTGACCTGATTTTAGACAAGGTTTAGACTTGGTTTAGACCTGGTTTTAGACCTGGTTTAGTGTCCGGAAATGAGTGGAATTACAGGGGAAAAAAAGGGATATATCCCAAAATGTAAAAACAGGAAAATACCACCGTGTAATCCATTTATTTCAACAAAGTAACTGTAATCTAATTACCACTCACTGAAACAGTAACTGTAACCGAATACAGTTACTCATAATTTGTACTCTGATTATGTAACTCCGGTACATGTAATCTGTTACTCCCCAACACTGATTAGAAAACATGGTGAAGTCTGCTGCTAAAGTTCATCCACCAGTTGAGTAGTAAGAAAAATGACACCTGTAATCCTCTCAAAACATGAATTTCTCACTCACTGAAAAACATTGTTATTACAGTGGAGTTATTTATCCACTGAATATAACAGACAAACACAAATATTTAGCACATGAGCATCATCCAGGCTGACAGTGCCTCTGCTCTGTGGTGACCCCTCAGGAAAACCCACAACATTAAACAACAATACCCACCAGCTTACCATTGTCTCACTACAACACAGCCGTGCTCTCAGCCCATTCCCCATTATGTGACAAGGACACGTTTGAGACTGGAGTGATCCTAACAGTCGTGTGGCACTTGAGAGGACAGTCTTTGAGGAGAGGGGTCGAGGGGAGGGACAAGGACGAGTGCCCTACAAACGCACCATCCAGCAGCTCCGGAGGCTCCAGTGCACTTGAGCTGAAATAGGCACGCTCTAAAGGGAACGCGCTTCAAGACTTGTTTCCCACACTTCACACAGGCTCTCATGGGCCGGCTGGAGAGACCGCTGTGTGAATCTACTGAAAGGAGCAGCACCACATTGTTTGTCATGACACTGCTCCATACAGGATGTACAGAATGTAGAGGGCCCACTGTAAACTCCTTTTTTTTTTTTTTTGTTCACATTAACTGGATATTACAAAAATAAAGAGATAATTGTAACTATCTGGACGCAACATCTAAATTGTAATTTAAAGGTGCACTGTGTAACTTTTCTGGTGGATGGTCTGCCACCTGCTTGTCTTATAGGAGATGTCACTGCTTTGTCTTGCTTATTTCACAGTATGGAAATAAATTTGGTTATCACAATGTATATAGTTAATGGTCAGATCTATGGAGAAGCAAGCACATTGTAAAGAGTTTTTTCAAGTGATTTTTGAACTTTAAAACACCTGTAATTGAAGACAGTTCTGTTCTGTCCATGCAAAGAAATAATATCTCCATGCAGACAAGCAAGTAGCGGACCCTCCACCTAAGACGTTACATATGAGTCCAGTCAAGTGGTAACGGAGGGAAACAGGGGCGGATTTTTGACATTCAAATGTCTCTTATTCAGAAACTAGAGGGACTATTGAAATAAGTAAAGTATCAGAATGTAGGAAAGAGTTACACTCCAACAGGGTCAAGTTAAACCTGTGATATTCTTTCAAGTTGTTGACAAAAAATTAAATGTTGGTAACAGAAGGAATGAAATATGCAGCACTTTTTGGGCAATAAATCCAAACAGTGATAACTAGTGGTTCTCACTTCCATATCCTTAACAAACTGGTTTGAATATTTGCTTCATATAGTTTTCTGCCATATGATACAAGATTAGGTTGAAAAACCTCTTACTTTTTGAGTCATGAGATTTTTTATTAAGAAAGGTCATGGAAACGGAGGGAAAAGTAACGGAGGGAAAATTGTGCAAACAAGTAGAAGGTGCAGGATTTTACATCATTTGTCAACTTTTTTCTTTTGAATACTTTAATATTACTTCAAAATGAAAGGAAACTATTTCTATACAATATGTCAGTCCTTCCAAGCTAATTTTTATCATTTTAAATACAATTTTTGTTCCATGTTTCATACATGGTCTGTTTAAAACGTATGGAACTTTAGAACCAAAAATGGTACAGAAAAAAGGTCAACAGTTTCATAAACTAGAGTACATATGTATCTGCTGAATACATTTTTATATCAGATGCATTAACCCATAGTGCACCTTTAAAGTTGTATGGACAAAATCTTGTATTATCGAAAAAATCCAGGACAGGTGAGGGGAGAGGGTGAATGCGTCTCACATCTGCTATCTTCTGGTACAAAAAAAACAAACAAAACACAAAATGTTTCTGGCTTTACAATGTTAGAGAAGTAATGATGAGTAAAATAAATCTACTCTGAGAGGTACAATAGTATTAAAATCTTACTGTAAATGTACTTGAGTAAATGTTACTGAGTACTTGACCATGATACTCAAGTTTATGCAAACAACTTTGATTTAATTTATCTCTACAAGGTTTTTTCTGTCTCCCACTGCATCGCTCTGTTCAGTGGTAGCATATTTCCGACACCTCCATAGCCAGCTCGAGGCAGTCGTTTGCATCCTTACAGGAGGCTAGCAGGCCACAGTCCCAGTCCGTGTAGGAGCTCTCTTCGCTGCTGACCGGAGACTGGGCTGTAGGGGTCACCTGCTGGTAGTTTGGACAGCACTGATTTGTGATTTTCTGGTAGTCGTAAAACTGGCAGAAGAGGCAGTTGAGGACAATCCCAGCACAATCAACTGCGGAAGAGAGAGTGTTTTTTGAATGTCTAAAAAAGCAACCTTGTGCACTTTTGCAATAAGCTTCTTAAATGGCTCGAGGTGAATAATAGTACATATTAAAAGCATATCTTAAGGCATAAATCTTGTGTGTGTAAGTATAGCAGGTGGTGTTCTTCACATTATATATGAGAACATTTAAAAGCATCCCCTCTTCCTTCATACATAATTTAGAAAACGCCTGGTGCCCTCACAGCTCCACGCACCGGAATGAGGGAGACATAATCAATTATAAGTTGTCTCTCCTAGATTTTGTGGTGTGTTGCAATTGCACAAGAACAATGCAGTCTGGTGCCAAATGCCGCTCCCGTGGGTGATACGAAGTTCAAGATCAGCCGATGACAATAACGGACACTTCAAGCCATCTGTACCTTTATAGGCGAGTTTCAGCTGACGTCATTGTTATTAAAAGCCCGCGTTGCATGCTGGGAAATATTTTGGTCGGAGGCAAGAAACACGGTAGCGTCAAACACAGTGTGTAACCTCACGTATTTATCCCCGATAATGGTAAATTCCTGCTGCATTATCAGATGCACAAATAGAAGCACGGAAGAAGGAAAATGTCTTTTTTGTATTTTGAGTGAAAAGAACCACTAATGGTGAATTAAACGACTTTCAAACATCCCCAGAGCAAACAAAGAAAATCCGAGCAAACTGTGGACTCCAACAAGTTCAACAACACATCGAGACTCTTGGAGGTTTTCATCTTTTCTGCTGTGAATGGCCCAGGAGTTTCCACCAAGTCATTGTGGATATCGCCCAAGTGAATATTTGTCCAAGTAGTTGGCGATTTTGACCAGAAATTTGGTTTGGGCCACCTTTTGTCGGGGTTGAAAAGGGTGATTTGGCTCCATCGATGCTTATGACCAGTTTCTGGTCAAATGGTCTTGGGTCGTCTGCCGTTAGAGTGGATAAATAACCGGGATCAATACCCTTTACGTGCTTTCTCGCTCCGTCCGTCATGTTGAATTAGTGTTTATTGCCGCCGACCAAAATAATTCCCAGCATGCAACGTGCACTTTTGTCAACAATGAAACTCCTATACCTCCTATACAATATCTAACTAATTAATTGTAGGTAAAAGATTTAATCAAAACAAAAAATAATAAAGCTGGTACAGAAAAATGTTCCATCTTCTTAAAGACAAACCCCATGGACAACTGATTACAAATGAATATGCTTTTCTTTTTCAAGCCATAACAATTTAGCATGATTAAATTAAGACAGAATTTAATAATAGAATAGAGCCTCCACAGTAGTGTAATTACCATAGTTTATGTAGTTTGCGGGGCACTTTTTTTGCCTTTTTTGCTGTATATCAGTGTATGAATTATTAAGCCATTTTCATAATTGATTATCTGGTGGTATTCTCGCGCTCTCACAGCATGATGAGGCATAAAGCTCCCAATTTGTCAAATGTTCTATTCGGTCTCTGCTTCGTGTTGTTAATATTGTGCTTATAAATCAAAATTTGAGTCATCAACTGCACTAAATGAAAATGTCAATATCACAATTAAGAACAGTGTCAGAGTGGACTTACTTCCTGTGTTGCTGGACTGAGAGGTCAAAGAGGAGCTGCTGGAGTCTAAAGACGGTGGCCTCCTTAGGTACAGCTTTAGAGAGAATAAAGGAGAAGTGGCTGCGTCGTATTTTGGCGGTTTCTGGATCTCTCTGCCATTGACCTCCGTCTCTGAGTGAGCATCGACTTTCCATTCATGGTTTTCACACCGGCTTTGGGTCTTCCCTGTTAAAGGCAAATATATGTCAGCCATTTTCATGTCTAAGATTTGCTGTAGACCACTAGTTCTCAAACTTACCACCTGAGAAAATATTTGGTTCTTAAACTACAAAACCAGGTCTAAAACAGGACTACCCTAGGTATAACTAGAGCGAAATAAAGCCTAAAATCAGAGTTCACAATTGCAATACTAATTCTAAACAAGGACTAACCCAAAGTTGGACAGAAATGTAGTTTAAATTGAAAACTTAAAATTCAGAACATGTTTGAAATGCAGAGGACCTTGTGTACCAGCTGTGGTAAACACATCACAGTTTGAGAAACACTGATCTAGACAAATCACAGATGTATTTGGACACGATACCTCCGCTTTGTAAAGAATTTCCCACATCGAACAGTGAATCAGGATGAGGGGGCCTATTATTTCTACAATGCTCAAAACTGGAGCAGTGAGTTGATGCGACAGAAACCGTATCCATATCCAAACACACAAATAAAACACACAAACAAGAAAGCAATCAAGGAGTCAAAACATTAACGTTAACTTCTGACCAAATTCCTTACTTGTGGTTAAAAAAAAAATCTGCAAAATTTTTCAGTTTGTCTCAAATTTCTCAAATAAACAATAGTGGTCATGTTGGAGAACCACATAGTCAGGGTTATTTACCTATGTATTATTTCTTAACTAAAGATTATCCTATATATCCTAGATAAAAACAGTCTTTATATTATATATAACTCGCTGGTAATGCCCGACATAACCTACAGTATTGAGATTTGGGGCAATACATATAAGACGAATACAAATCCAGTCTTTACCTTGCAAAAAAGGCAATAAGAGCCTCACATTATCAGCTTATAACGCATCAACCAATGTGTTATATGGGCCCGGTCAAGCAGAAGTAAACAACAAGGCCAAAAATTCAAGTTAATGCATCTGATATAAAAATGTATTGAACAGATACATATGTACTCTAGTTTATGAAACTGTTGACCTTTTTTCTGTATCATTTTTGGTTCTAAAGTCACATACGTTTTAAACAGACCATGTATGAAACATGGAACAAAAATTATTTCCCAAATTTCAAAGACCTGCAAATCATGTCAATAAATGGATGTATTTCATCATATCTTGTGTTATTCCATCTTTGAACTGTTGATGAAGGTACATGATTTTTCAAAAAAAAAAAAAAATTTAAAATGATAAACATTTGCTTGGAAGGACTGACATATTTTATAGAAATAGTTTCCTTTCATTTTGAAGTAATATTAAAGTATTGGGAAGAAAAAAGTGACAAATGATGTAAAATCCTGCACCTTCTACTTGTTGTACAATTTTCCCTCCGTTACTTTTCCCTCCGTTACCATGACCTTTCTTAATAAAAAATCTCATGAGTCAGAAAGTAAGAGGTTTTTCAACCTAATCTTGTACCATATGGTAGAAAACTATATGAAGCAAATATTCAAACCAGTTTGTTAAGGATATGGAAGTGAGAACCACTAGTTATCACTGTTTGGATTTATTGCCCAAAAAGTGCTGCATATTTCATTCCCTCTGTTACCGACATAAGTTTTAAAATTTTTTGTCAACAACTTGAAAGAATCTCACAGGTTTAACTTGACCCTGTTGGAGTGTAACTCTTTCCTACATTCTGATACTTTACTTATTTCAATAGTCCCTCTAGTTTCTGAATAAGAGACATTTGAATGTCAAAAATCTGCCCGTTTCCCTCCGTTACCACTTGACATTTATAAACCTTCAAACTCTGAAATTTTACAATTCAGTCGACCTTTATACTCATGTAAAATCATGTTCAAAGTAAAGAACAATCTTCTGTCAAAATCTTTACAGAACATGTTCAAAATTCGAAAGAGCCGATATGAGCTCAGAGGTACGGCCGTGTTTATCAAAAAGAAAATTAGAACAAACATTATGAAATTTTGTGTATCTGTTAAAGGGCTCGAGCGGTGGAACAAATGTACAGAAAACCTAAAATTGTGCACCACACTCTTCCAGTTTATAAAGAAGTTTAAATGTTTAACTCTGGACAGATACATGAAATATGATACTTAGTTTGTGTTGTAGAACTTTGTTGTACTGTTTCTGATTAGTTTGTTTCCTCCTGCTGTATTTATGAAGATGAACTGGTTTTAAGACGACGCTCTGACAAAGGAATAAAGGGTAAAGGCAGAATAAGCCTGCACCTTTTCGGTCTGTGTATGTTAAATATGACTGTCTGTGAATTAATGTCAAAATATACCTGTGACCGAAATAAATAATCAATCAAATCAAGATGAAATAAAAGTAACGTTCTCGTCTTGTTTTGTTTTACAGCTGCTGTAGCCTTTTACAAACCTGCATGCAAAAAAAACAAAACAAAAAACAACACGCAAGATGCAAGTAAGTAAATATGTAACAGCCTTGAAACAGACAAATGAAGTCCCTGAGATACATGTTTACAACAGGCTGCAAACTGGTTTAGACTATGCAGGAACAATCTGTTTAGTGAACATCTGATTTAAATAGATCTTAATGAATCATTGTGCTTCCTTCTGTTTACTATCTCACCACCTATTTACCATGCATTATTCACGACGCAATTCTCTCTTTTATTTAACAATTAATGTCTGATCATTTATTTACATGCATTTGAAAGCTAAATAAACTTGTTGTACTACACACACAGTTGCAAGCGACATACAAATGGACATTGCTTAAGGCTGTGTTGGCCATTTTAAAGAATTCATTAGATGTTTTTTCCACAATAGCCTCACGGGCAATCACCTTAAGCTAACCTGTGATTGGACAGAAGCTAAACAAGGCTGTGGAATGAACAACAAGTGAGAGTCCCGTGGCGATCAGTGGCAAGTGTGTGATATTGTGGCTTATCTGATGAATTAACTAACAAGTGCAGATGCTCCGTGCCCATGACCATTAGCTGATAGAGAAATGAGGCCTCGGGCAGGACATGCATTTTTTAGATTTGGATGCTGTGTTTTTGCCAAACCGTCCCCACTCATTAGACACCAGCACTACTCCAGAACAGAACCTAATTCTGAAAATGAAAAATATGTTGTAAATATTATGCATGTCATGTTATATAATAAATATTCACAAGCCATGAGTGTACCAGCATATGTTTAGTTACAAATTGATTGTACACTTGGCCAAATGTGATATTAAAGAAGACATTTTCACATATTTAGAATTGAAGTATGACATATGGAGATCTTGATTTTCCAATTTGTCCAGTGGGTGGAGATAAGGAGTAGATGAAAACAGAAACTTTCTTGAATGCAGGACAATACAAGATTACACAAATATGCATGAGGGCCCGGTCAAGCAGACGTAAACAGCAAGTCCAAAAATTCAAGTTAATGCATCTGATATAAAAATGTATTGAACAGATACATATGTACTCTAGTTTATGAAACTGTTGACCTTTTTTCTGTACCATTTTTGGTTCTAAAGTTCCATATGTTTTAAACAGACCATGTATGAAACATGGAACAAAAATTATTTCCCAAATTTCAAAGACCTGCAAATCATGTCAATAAATGGATGTATTTCATCATATCTTGTGTTATTCCATCTTTGAACTGTTGATGAAGGTACATGATTTTTTATTTATTTTTTTTTTTATGTATTTAAAATGATAAAAATTTGCTTGGAAGGACTGACAAATAGTTTCCTTTCATTTTGAAGTAATATTAAAGTATTTGGAAGAAAAAAGCTGACAAATGATGCAAAATCATGCACCTTCTACTTGTTTGCACAATTTTCCCTCTGTTACTTTTCCCTCCGTTACTGCTTGACCAGACCCATGAATCCATTGAAATACAAATTTAGTAAGCTAGTGATGAGGAAACATTATCAACATTAAAAATGTATTAACTGCTCATAATTTTCAATTCTGTACCCCTTTAACTGACAAAATACTGTATTTGAAATGTTGACATGTTTAGGCTTGAGAGTGACTTATTTAAAAAGGATGTCCTATGTTTTGCAATCACAGAATAATCTTGGTTTTCAAATGTTTTTAATGTTAGTGAGTAATACAGAAGCAGGCAGGATAAATACATAAACAACAAAATGAATCCTGTTTTCGAGCCAAATCTCACCTCCTGTTTGTCGTGTTGGGCTCTCCTCAGGGGGTGTCCTTGTCCCTATGTTTTTCAAATCCACTTTTGTAGTCGTTTCATCTTCCATCTGCTCCATTGCATCACCGATAAAAATGCACCTCCTTTGACTAGCGTGATTACCTCAGGTCAAAAACATGAGGCCAGTGGGAGATAAAGCTGAACACAGAGTTACCACTGCTTTGAGCTCTTGATGTGTTCATTAGTCCTTAGTGTTTGGTCTTCCAGCAGCGGATGTCTCTCTCTCTCTGTGAGAGTGTGTCAGGATGCTTATTGTTTACTTGGATAAAAGAGCCAAAGTGGGCAGGATAAATCACACTTTACATTAAAATATCCATTTGGCCTTGTGCCTGCAGTGCTGTGAGCCTCTCCAATGTTCCAATGACGCTGCTAAAAACACTTGACATACGCTTTTATAGGCAACTTGAGTCAGCACATTTCATCAGCTGGAGTGATTACAGACTGAGAGCATTCAGTGTACATGTTTGGTGGATAAATATGAGCCCTTGTAATTAGCTATATACTTATATAACTTTAATATTGTCCTGTTTTGAGTGGAGCATTTTAAGAGTTTTGTACACATCCACATGATCAGTTGTTTGCATGCAGTAGACTTTTCTCCCCTTCTTGACTGTGATAGTGTTAAACATATGCACTGGGAGCCGTGTGCCAGTTTGTTTGTTGGGGTGAAACATGGCGTGAAACAGTGCTCTGCATTCAAATTTCTCCCCACACAAGCCAACCAATTTAGTCTAATTAGGCTCAACACTAGAGTTGCATTTTAATAGCTGCCCCGCTGTGTTTGCATATGTTTAGAGAACAAGAGCTATGCTAATTGAAAAATTAAGATGTGAGAGTATTTTCCTACTGCGCTCTCACTATGGTGCACAATGTGTAAATAGAACTCCTGAGGAGAACTTCGACAGGGAGCTTCACTCTTCACCGGGGCTGGTCATGAAGGGTGCAGCTAAATTATGAATAAGAGAGAGGGTTATACAGATCAGAACAACATATTGAAGTATGTGATTTTAATCAGCATGTGATAGTACAGCATGTAAACATGCCATGCAGGCGCATTTTCATCCATACTGTCATTCACAGGTTGATGGCAAAACAGAAAACAGGACACAAAATATTCAATCCATAATCACAATCTCACAACAAAACAGAAACCACTGTTTCACAGACCTACTAAAGCTATAAATGGAGGCCATGTTCCTTACTTCTGTGGAGATCAGATTCCAGGTGTGTGACTGAATAGTCCAACTGTCTGAATGAAGTCTTTCTAAATGGGATTTTTTAGAATGATAAAACTGTACCTGACTTCAACATAAACTTAATCATATAAAATTGCAGATTTAAAACAGACCTTATTACTTGACAGTGGTATAGTATTGACACTATATTATTACCATTAGTAGAAATGGAGTGTACTTCTTGTTTTGTAGTTGAAGCATTCTCTTGCCTCCCCTGTGCTTCAGTCAGCTCCTGAGAGAGTGATGTTGTGTGACAGGCAGAGATCGAGTTCACGTACAAATTACAGAGCGTCTAAGTGACAGCAGTCGACCTCTATCATGGTGCTTACACTCTCCTCTGTTATTTAGTGTGTAAACAGGTCGTCTATACGCACACATGCTCCCATTCATCTCCTCACTGTGGGAACGCTGAGGCCGCTGCTGTGATGTATTGAACACTGCCACTACCACCCCTCAGTCTTCATCTTCGACTGTATACTGTCTGCTGTATAGCCTTTTCATTTTTTAGAATAAACATTTACTATTATGTCAGCATAAATAAAAAATAAATATTGTAGTAAAATGAAAATGCATGTGTGAATTTAATTATACACTTCACATTTATATAGCGCTGTTCTACTACTGTCAAGGCACTCATCGCACTTAACATCAAGGAATCACACACCCATTCACATACACCTGTGTACACCTGTGATGCTGGGGAAGTGTCTTGCCCAAGAACACAAAAATATTCATCTGTGGGAGCTGGCCTACCTATTAAACTGTGAGACAGACAAAACTTGTTAGACAAAAAGAAATTAAATGAAAGAAGATGTATTGCCTTGAACAACACCTTATTGTCCACTGTAACTTTGAGCACTTAAAGTTATTTGATCTATTTGCAATTTCATTTTAAAAATCTGTTTTAGTTGTCCCTTTTTTTGTAACCTAAACTTTTAGAACTGTGCATGTGCTTGTTCCCATGAGAAGCATATTCCTTGATGTCCCCTTTAGGCTTGCTCCTCTTTTACCTAAATGTGTGAGTTTGCTCATGGTGCACACGCCCCTTTGGCCCTTAATGACTCCCGTAGAGGATACGTGTCAGCTGGCTCCATGGTGACAGCCCAGTCCCCTATCACCTTGAGACCCGCTCAGACACGGGGGGCAGACACACTTGATGTCAAATTCACTTTTTAACTAGTGTTCAACCTTGGTGCTTTGGGCCTAATTGTTCAGGCAGATGTCGCTGTCCTCAGGTAGAATAACAATACAGATTCCACATGCCATGGGTTACACCAGCCTTCACTTGGGTTCAATATTGGGTTGATTTTATTCTCATGCCACGCAGTATTTACTCAGGCATAATTAATGAAAAGCACACAGCATCCTGGGCAACAGTACAGCAGTGAAACACCCATGGGCAATGTGTCTGCAAATCAGATGTTACCTTTGTTTAATTTGCACTAATGAAAGCTAATGACCGTAATATCCAGTATATTAGGATGCTTTAGAGATGTTATCATGGTTTAATTGTGAGTAAGCTAATAGAGTCATGGTTGTATATGTGGCGCTAAACACAATCATCATCAACAATAATAACAGCATATAGTTCTATCCAAGGGTTTTAAAATGATGGTAAATTAATACTGTTGCCATAGTGATTAACCCTCTCAGGCTCAAGTTAAGTTTTAGTAACAGGAAAAATCTGATATTTGGGGAAAATGATCATATGGGGTAGTAATATACAATCCTGACTTTTTTTTTGTTTGAGATCCAGTGTGTTCTGGGGTGTTGCAGATTTGCAGCATTGGTCTGGTGTGGTAAATTAACACTGAAGACTGAAAATGATATAAACACTAACTTTATGTGTAAACCACTTTTCATAACAATGAAAACATAAAGCACAGTGTAACAGCTTTACAGTGGCAGAACAACATCACTTTTTCGTGTGGTTCTCCAAGAAACTATTTTTATCCTTTGTAAACAACAAAAGTACTTTGCACTTCTGGCAGGTCGTTTGTGTGTAGTCATTCTTGCACAGTCTGCATCGTCCACGTTTATCAGCATGGATGGAAAAAAGACTCATAAAGTATGGATGTGGAGTAAGTAGGTAATTGGAATTTAACTGTTGCAAATCTGCAACGCCTGCCTGGAGAGGGTTAACAATAAAAAAGTATTGGATGACTGTAAAGATTATAAGTGTAACTCAGAGTGTGACTCAGAAAATAAGATGTATGCTTTAGATGTATACATTCTTTAAGTCACACTACTGCACGCCTGCCTTTAACAATAAAAAAGTGGTGACTAAACGAGATCTTTTGTATACATTCTTTATCACACTACACCAAACTATGGTACTACGATTATTGAAAATATCAGTACTTCAAATGTCTCAAAAAAGAAAAATAATTAAATAAATATTTCTTCATCACATTTTAAATATTTTTTTAATACATTGTGTTACAATAATAGGGGTGTGCAAAAATATCTGAATATCGATATATCGCATTTAATGTGATGATACAGTATCGATATTGTGGGCTACTATATCGATATATCACCAAGAGTATTTTTAGGTGTGTTTTACTAAATTATTTTGTTACAGAGCTACAGTTTTGTTGCTTGTGGAGTGAAAGGAAACTCATTTATGCAACACATTTGACATTTTTACTGTTTTGATGATTAAAATGTTTGTGTTTCATATGAACTTTGCAAAAGAAGTGGTTTAACAAAGACTTTTAGTATCACAGCCATGATTTAGCCTTTATTTTTATTGAACTGTATTGAATCGATTTGAAATATATCATATCGAATTGAAAGTGCACTGTATCGAGATCGTATATGTATCGTATCGTGGTCTGTGTATGTATCGTATCGGCAACATCTTAATGATACCCAGCCCTATACAATAATGTAACAACACACACTGCACACTCAGAGGAGATACACAGCTAAAACCTCGACTGTACCTGAATTTAAGATGTCTGCTTCACCAAACTGCTGCATGTCGACAGCCAGCTGCATTTACAAGAACACCCTGACTCAGGTTTGACAAACAATTTATGTAAAACTACTTCGGCCAACAGTGATAAAACTCTTTTGTAACAGTTTTTATGGCTTTACAACTCAAATAATCAGCAATGAAGCAAATGTATGTTACAAAACAACAATGTTAAATCATACTAGTTCAAACTTTTATGTTTTAGGAGTTTCATTGTGTTTCATTGATGAGCACATGCGATTTTGAGTGTGGAAATGATGATACCATGAATATAGATTTTTTTACTGATACATCATGTGTGTTACAGGTGAATGATCTGGCAACAAAGAACCACTTGCCCATTGTTTTCTTTTACTGCCTGGAACATGGGCCTGTCCGTGAGTGGATCTATTCTATAACCATCTAAGTGCTGTGGGTCAGGCTCACACCAAGAAAAGGCCAGAGTCACTGCAGTGACCAACATCCTGGAACCAATGAAGGAAGTGTTCCTGGTTCTTCAAAACAACCATGGAAATCCAGTAAAAGAGAGAAACAAGGATAAGCTGCTTAAACCCAACGGATACCTGTTTGAAGTGGTGCAGGCCAATGGGTGGAGCTGGCTGGAGTATGTGCTGCTGGACTCGAGGCTTCTCCCCTGGGCCTCGCTTTTCACTATGGGGGTCTCAGCACAGGGGGCAGACGTGTCAGAAAGCTGCCAAACAAAACACAGTGGGAAAAATGTTGGAGGTCCTGGGGTTTGAGTGCCCCAAGTACTTTGAAAAGGACAACACCTCAGCAACTCCTCAGGTACATAGACAAAGATGTACTTTTTTTTTTTTACTACAGAAACATTATATCTGTAAT